TGGGGCCCCCCGTGCCGGCGCATCCGTGGGTGCAGCGGAGCAGCCCGAGAGGTGCAGCCCCTGGAGATTGTCCAGCAGCGACTTCCTCTCCTCCCGCCCGCGGTTTCTTCGCACCCCCCGCCCCGTGCGATCGTCCGGGCTGTCCTCCCCCGCCAGCTACCGGAGTGGGTCCCCGGTGGGGAAGGACTCGCTGCGAACCTCAGAGGAAACTCATTGTAATTGCTCAGGGACAACTTTTTTAGGGAGATTTGCTTCCCCTCCGCTGCTTGCTTTGGGAGGAGAAGCTGCACCGGGCCCTGCACCCAGAACCGTGACAGCAGGGAGCTCGGTTTGGGGCATCTGTCCTCCCCCGCCAGCTACCGGAGTGGGTCCCCGGTGGGGAAGGACTCGCTGCGAACCTCAGAGGAAACTCATTGTAATTGCTCAGGGACAACTTTTTTAGGGAGATTTGCTTCCCCTCCGCTGCTTGCTTTGGGAGGAGAAGCTGCACCGGGCCCTGCACCCAGAACCGTGACAGCAGGGAGCTCGGTTTGGGGCATCTTGGGGGTGACAGACCCCCAACCGAGGACCCCAGGAGATGCGGGGGGCAGTGGCTGCAGAGTCAGGGCTGAGCTTTTCCCATTTCTGCCTCGATTTCCCCGCTCAATTCCCACTATTCCCCAGGACGGCCATGGAGCCCCTCGCCTTTCTTCTCCTCCTTTCCCTCCTCCTCCTCTGCCAAGACCGAGGTAAGAACCAGGCCCTGCTGCGGGAGCTGCAATGAGTTGTGTCCAGCCTCTGCCCAGGGCTGGGCAGATTTTTTTGACAAACTGAGGTCAGGGCTGGGCCGTGGGTTGAGGGATTTTGGTTTTGTTTTCCCGTGCGAATGAGCAAGCAAAGGGCTCATGGCGTCTGCAGAGCATTCTCTCGGGTGAGAAAAAATAAGCGCCCCGAAACCAAAGCTGAAAGCAAAAGGCGTTTTCTGAGGGTCAGGAGGCCTCGTTGCTACGCGTATTGGGCCATTAAGAAGGGATTATTGTGAAAAATTGACTTCCTTTTTTTTAAAGAAAGGCTGATTCTTAGGAAATGGTCTGTTGTGAGGATCTGCTTTGCTGTAGGAGGCAGAGGGGCAAGCGAGAGCTTCGTTGGAGCTTCCACTGTCCTCAGAAGTGGGATTCATTTATATTGGCCTTAAATACCAAATATTTACAGGGAGAAAATTACTCCCTCTGGTTGGGGGTGTCCGTTTGGAGACGGAGAGGATGGGAGAGAAGGGGGAACTGAAAATGCCTTCCCAAACCACGCTCGGGGGGGAAGGAGAGGAAGGGTCCCAATGCCAGAGGTTCCGCATCCCCCCCGGTTCCATGGGGTGTGGGACCCCACGGTAGAGCCATGGGGCATCTCCATTGCGGCCCTCGCTGCCTCCTCTCAGCTTTAGGACGCCGGGAATGCCAGGACCAAGCCGTGTCCACCCTGGGAGAGCTGTGGCTGCAGCCGGAGCAGCCCCCGCAGGAGTGGGTAAAGATTGAGTGGCGAGTGAACCAGGAGACGACCCCGCTGCGCATCCTGACGGTGGAGAAGAACACCACCATCTACCCCAGCAAGAGCCCTCTTTTTGGGAGAGCCGTTTTCCAGCCGCAGACCCTCTCCCTGCGGATCAGCCCGGTTCTCCAGAACGACAGCGGGGTTTATACGGCAGAATTTGCGGATGCATCCGGCAATGGCACCACCCTGTGCTTTAACGTGTCGGTGTGGGGTGAGTAATGAGGTCCCCATCGCCCTGTGCCCCTGTCCCTGCCATCCCCCCTCATCGCCCCCATCCCTGCAGACCCCGTGGGCCGCCCGAACCTGGCGGGTCA